GTCTGTCTGTCTGTCTGTCTGTCTGTCTGTCTGTCTGTCTGTCTGTCTGTCTGTCTGTCTGTCTGTCTGTCTGTCTGTCTGTCTGTCACGTCCTCGAGGGCTTGTAGCGTGGACAACGGTAAATTTGAAGATTTGAAATGGAACTAAAATTTTGCACACACTGGGAGTGCAGTGAAGCGGTTCAACCAGCGAACGGTTAGGACTCAAATCTGGTGATGCGTGAACTGTGTATTTATTCGTGAGTCATTCCCTGGGTTGTGTGTGCTTCAGAGATTAGTCACGCACTTATATCGTTCGTTCGTTCGTTCGTTCGTCTGTCCGTCTGTACTCGTGTCTGTCTATCCGACTGTTCCCAATCTCAACCGGGTGGTCATATGTGATACGTACGCTTGAATAGGTCCGTGCTTTCCCCCCCTCTCTTTCTCTCTATCTCCCTCTCTTTTGTTGGACGAACCATCTACTTGATGTGAATCGTTCCGCTCCCTAATGGTTTTCTTTCCTCAATCCTCCACTCGCCCACCTGTCCACCCCCCTTCGCATCCCTTCTGTTCCGTTTTTCAATCATAATGTTTGAAACACTATTACACTTGAGCCGCTCAAGATCAGTGGGGACTGGCAACAAGCAGCGTTCACTTCACCGCCAATTTTGTACTCACCTATTACACCAATGCGTAGTTATTGGGTCCTTTAGCACAATAACATTCTGACTCAGCTTCTTTGATTGCCCAATCAATAGCACACCGTACATCGGAATTTCCAGGCGATTCGTCTCGGATGGCGGCCGCAGGGTTCGTATGCTTAATTTATTATGGGCTGGCGTGCGCGTTGGACAGCTGATGGCAAACCTGCACTCTCCTTTCTGAAAAATTCACTTTTAACCAGCTCCTGGTAAATTGTCTACTCTCGTAGATGAGTAGTGGAGACGATATTGCTTAATTTGGTCCCCATGATGTCCCTTTTCCCGGCTATGCATACATCACGATCCCAAGTTAGTTAGATGGTATGAAACCGCCCGTCGACTTCCGGCACACACGCCATGGAAGTCGAACTGGGGATGTTGATACGTGATTCAGCGACACACACATATTTGGTGGGGACTACTTCCACCTGTCAGTCATGTTTTTCCATCAGTGGTGACCATTAGGCAATCTTGATCGGTCAGTGCTACACTGGCGTTTCGACACCGTTACCATTAACAACGTGGGATAACTATCCGAGGTTAGAGCTGTGCTGTGAATCAGGCAAGGCATTACGGGTTGCATAGGCCAAATTGCCGTATGATGACTACGCTGTGGTTGCTTGACGGACTAGTGACCTGTGTTTCTGTTGTCAGCGTTCTTGGTCCGGGTTGACAGATCACAGTCCAATTGTGTTCGTATTCTTTGTTTGATGTCTGTGTCTCTCTCTGTGTTGCGCCGGATATGGGTGTGTATTTGATGCAACACCTCTCCTCCCCATCCCGGTCCTAGGTGGAAAACGAACACTAATCAGCGCGAGTTTTTTTTGTGTGTGTGCAGCGTGTCGGTTGCAATCCACAAAGCCCCTTCAAAATTTCTCTTGTCCGGTGGAACGTAAAGCGCATTGTGTTCAAACCATTTGCGTTTTTGTTGTCTCTTGTCATGCGGAACTTTGCCTACAAAAATGAGTTTGTGTGTGTGTGTGTGTGTGTGTGTGTGTGTGTGGCAGTCGACACAGACGAGTAACCGGAAGCAGCAGTGCCAGTGCTGATGAATTTGATAGGCGCGCGGGGGATGAAACACCAGTAGCTACAACGGCCAGTGATGATGCAGTTAGGTGATGAGCAAAATGTTAGCCGGACAGTTAATTCAGTGTTCTTTGGAAATTGGCAGAACTGAAAAAGTGCTAGGTTGTTGCACCTCAAATACAGTGCTTAACAGATTGTATGCTTTGGGGTTCCGTGAATCGTAGTCGTATCGAGCATGCGTTGGTTGTTGCGTTTTCGTCAATGACATTTTTTCCTGACGGCATTTTGCGTGGAGAATAACGTGGTTAATCGGAAGTGGATGTTTTGCGCCACATCACTTTCATTTGAATGCTTTGTGAGTACCACTTCTCAAACCCGATTAATGTCTCCATCTTCGATTTTTAATGAAATAGTGGCGTTACGTGAACAGGGGTGGGGATAGGGGTCTTAAATTTAAAATGTTTACGTTTTGCGTATTAAACAGATTATATTCCGTGATGTCGCACAGAGATTCTGGTCTTATACTCTCGGGCTGATTACCACTAGCTACCGCTGTTATCTCAATTTTCATCTTGCCACCACCAATACGGTGACGGTCCTCGAAACGCTGCAAATATCCGCATTAAAGTTGGAAGTATGTTACATGTAGTTCGACTGCACACTGCACCAAGTTTTCTGGAGAATTAGATCCGCTGTAAGAACAGTGGTCTATTGCACCAGTGTCTGATCACACCATCGATTGATGAGATAGTGTTATAAGACAGGTTTTTGATTGCTGCGAGGTGTGTGTAGAGAGCTTGTCTAACTAATAGGTGTTGGGATATTAGATCCGTGATTTGAAAAGTCTAAACTTCTCGCTGGCATCGTACTCCGTCGGTTGTCTGCCGCACGTGAACAGTGCACGCGTGAGAACCAGGCTGGCTTTAGACCTGGTCGACGTGGTACCGACCACATCTTCACTCTTCTACAAACTCTGGAGCACCGACATTCTTTTCGTAGACCCACTATCACTGTCTTCCTGGATCCACTCAGTCCACCTCTCTAAACTCTGGCGCTGCCTTTTTCTGAAAGGTGTGCCCGAGAAGTTTGTTTCAATATTACGATCCCTCTATACTCATAGCCGAAGCCGAGTCCGAGCTTACGGTACTTTTTCGCCCGAGTTCACCACGGAAAATGGTGTTCGACAGGGTTGCCCTCTCTCCTTTTCTATTTAACTTTGTCATAGATATAATTCTTGAAACAGCCCTATCCTCGTGCAGGGATAGCCGTATCGATTTACTTCCGGGTGGTAGACTCTGATCTAGACTATGCAGACGACATTGTGCTACTAAGTGAAGATCCAGGTAGGTTGCAAGCTTTTCTGGATGGTTTGAGTGTTAGTGTAGTCATGTTCGGTATGCGTNTCATGTTCGGTATGCGTTTTGCACCTTCAAAGTGTAAAATGCTACTACAAGATTGGGTTGGTCCAGCACCCAGACTCACTCTAACTGGGAAAGTAACAGAGCAGGTGGATAAGTTTTTTTTCTAGGCAGCTACATTTCACCCGATGGACGCATCACGGATGAAGTGTTCGCTCGCATACAGAAGGCTTGGTTGGCATTTGCCGACTTGAGACATCTGTGGCGCCATCCGGCTGTCTGTGAAGGGTCGAGTGTATGTTGCAGCAGTTCGGCCAGTTCTGCTATATGGAGCAGAAACTTTCCCACTAAGAAAAAAAGGACAAAGATAGACTATCGGTGTTTGAACATCGCTGTCTACGCAGCATTGCATGAATTCGGTGGGGCAGCCGGACGAACAATGTTGAGGTCAGACGTAGAGTTTTAGGCAACCGCGGTCACCCACTGGAGCAAGTGGTCGACTTCTATAGATTACGTTAGTTGGGGATATGTTACGTATGTCACCAAATAGGTTACCACGGCGAGCGGTGTTTGCCGAGGCAGGTAGCGGTGTTTGGAACAAGGTCAATGGTGGTGAAATGAAGACCTGGCAGCTGGGTATGAAAACTCTAACCAGGAGTCTAAGTAACATAGGTCCCGTTAGGCTCCCTGAATGGGGACCCGGAGAACATGTTCTCTGATGGTTATAGACACTGAGCGATATGGCTGGGTGTCGCAACCAGCGGCGTTCGTGCATCTTCTCAATTACTCTGTATCATTAGTCCACTGAACTTTTCAATTTTCTCTTCGATCCTACTTTCAACCTTTCCTGTCTTTCTCGTAATGTCTATCCAAATGGGCAGCTAAAAGATAGCAACCAAAACCGGCGCACGATAGTGCATGGTTAATGGTTGTACAAACTGAACTGAACTGATTTGAAAGTGGTGACTTCGGGCGTTTTATTTTACGTTCGTTTCGGGAGCCACAATTGGCCTGCATTATTATCCTTCCATTTGGTACTTATTGTCTACACTATTTTCGCCCTTCTCTCTCTCTCTCTCTCGCCCTCCCTCAGAATCCGAACCTACAGCTCTCCGGACATCTTGAACCGGCACCAGCAGCAGCAG